AAGAAGCTGGTGTGTTGGTGCAAGCCGTGATGTCAATTCAGACTATCATAGAGCGAGATCCCCTAAGTCATGAGAAAGTATACACATCCTCATTCCCTGATTAAGCTTCTGAATGATATCACTTTCAAAACACATGCTCAGAAGCTGTTGCAATGATTTGTTGGATCTTTTGAAAATTATCTTAAATGGTCTATTGATAGCTTCTTCTTTTTTTTATTTGTTTGTTTGAAGGTGATAATTCAACTGTTTCGTAGTCTGGATTCAATCAAGGTAGCTGCTGCTCGTGCAACTATTATTTGGATGATAGGTGTTTACTGCTCTTTGGGTCATATCATTCCGAGGATGCTGACCACAATAACCAAGTACCTTGCATGGAGCTTTAAATCAGAAGCATCAGAGACAAAACTACAGATTCTTAATACTACTGCTAAGGTATAGCTAGGATAGGGGGAGTTGCCTCAAAACTTCTTATTCGGACTTCAATTATTTAAAAAAAAACCTTTAGTACAACCGGTATTATATATCTAAATCAATCCATTTGAAGGAAAAGCTATACGATTCAATAAGAATGGCCATCTACATTTTGTGCTATTTTAACAATTATTTTCTCTCTGAAAAAATCAGTTCCATCTCTGAGCTATAATATATGATTTTTCGTCCAATGGCTTTTCTGTCCTGTTAAATCATTTAGGTATATCACAAAATTGCTTACTGCTCGTGCTGATATGGGTTTTTAATACTTGGGTGCGTCTCGTTACAGTTCTTAGAAGAATTTGATTAAGTAATCTTCAAATTACCTTCAATCATCGCAGGTTCTAGCAAATGCAGAGGTTGACGATTTTCAGATGTTGAAAAGGATTGTGGTTTATGTGTTTGAATTGGGCGAGTGTGACTTAAGCTATGATGTTCGTGATCGCACTCGTTTCCTCAAGAAATTGCTGTCATGCAAATTAGCTTGTCATGAGCCAGCAAAAGACAGTGTAGCATCACAAGAAAGTATTGCTGAGCATGTTGTGGAACATGTCTTTGGAAGAAAGCTGAAACCTTTTTCACCTCTAGCCCTGCAAAATCGTTTTTATCTTCCTGGATCTCTGTCACAGATAGTTCTTCATGCGGCTCCTGGATATGAACCTCTTCCAAAGCCCTGTAGTTTTGTGTTTGAAGAACATGATCAGCTGTCAGATTCTGATAAACATAGAGAAGCCACAGATTTGAATGGTTCTCAGGAATCTTCTGAAACAGTGGATGAGGACGGCTCTTCTGAATATGATTCTGAATCATCTAATGGTTCAGATTTCAGCAGTGATGGTGATGAAAAAACGATATCCAATGATCCTTTAATTCAAATTTCAGAAGTTGCTGTTTCCGCTGACCAGGAAGAACTAAGGTCTAAAAGGGCCCTGGATTTGTGGCTAGACGAGCAGCCTAGCACATCAAATCAAACTTCCTCTGCATTAGATAGGAACCAGAGCTCTTATGCAAAGATATCCATTGGTGATTTAGGAAGCCGAGTGAAGCCTAAAAGCTATACTCTCTTAGACCCTGGAAGTGGCAATGGCTTGAAGGTAGACTATACCTTTTTATCCGAAGTCTCCACTGTGTCTCCGTTGCATGTTTGTGTAGAAGTTCTGTTTGAGAACAGTTCGACGGAACCTATCCGTGAGGTGCATTTGGAGGATGAAGAAGTAATGAAAGTATCAGACTCTGCTGAACAGACGTTGGTAGGGAAAGCAAAGTGAGTTTTATTCCTTTCTATCGCTGAGCTAACATGAGTCCTGCAAGGAATTAGAATTGGTAGAAATTAAATTTCTCAGATGATCTCATTTTCATTTTTGAAAACCCTGCAGTGCATCTTACAACAATGTACCAACAATAATCCCAATGGAGGAAATAAGCTGTCTTGAACCGCGTCAAAGCGCAAAGAGGCTTATCCAGGTTCGGTTTCATCACCACCTGCTTCCCATGAGATTAACCTTGCATTACAATGGAAAGAAGGTTCCTGTCAAGTTACGACCTGATCTTGGATACCTTGTGAAACCATTTTCGATGAGCGTCGAGGAGTTCTTAGCCACAGAATCACGGTTACCTGGAATGTTTGAGTATAGTCGAAGGTTAGTTGCTTTCTCTACTTAAATGTGAGGTTGATGTCATTATAATCTGGGTTTCCCTAACGTGGGTTCTCTTCACTTTTGGTAGGTGTACTTTTACAGATCATGTCAAAGACTCAAGAATGGAGAATGGGAAAGACAAGTTTCTTAGCATCTGCGAGTCTATAACACTAAAAGTGCTTAGCAATTCGAATCTACACCTTGTGTCTGTGGATTTGCCTGTTGCAAACACACTTGAAGATGCAACTGGGTTGCGTTTAAGATTCAGCAGCAAAATCTTGAGCAGTGAGATCCCTCTTTTGATTACCATCACAGTCGAAGGTAAATGCACCGAAGTTCTGAATTCAACGGTCAAGATCAATTGCGAAGAAACTGTTTTTGGTCTAAACCTGTTGAACAGGATAGCTAATTTCATGGTTGAGCCGTCTTCTTCAGCCACTTTGTGAATGTAATGTTACGAAACGCTTTTTTATAACATTTTTTTGTGATACATGTCTGTAAAATTTTAATTATAAATACAATGAGATCTAATACATGCATTGAGGGATCCATACTAGAAACAAGAATATAGTATATACATTTTAATGTTTTACGTAGTTTTTTTGAACTTATGAGTAGCTTAATGATGTCGGACACTAAAGGTAAAGCAAGGAAATAGAATCAGGCAATTTAGAGAAGTGAGAAACTAATCAAATTTGGCTATGCTTCCATCCACCAAACTCTTCTCACTTCATTCCTCTTTCTCGCTGAAATTTACATATAAAGAAAACTATGATCATTATTTTTTGTTTATCTCACTTTTCATGAGTGGAAAAGAATGTGTTGAATAATTTTATGTTTAACTAGTTTTTTTTTTCAACCGTTACTCTTCTATTTTATAGAGTATAAATTTTAGAAGAATATAACTTATTTTTCCTCTAATATAATAGGATCCGGTTTAGTTTTGAAGAAAGATTTTTAGAGAAATCCAAAGGAATATACAAATTTTCACAATTTTGTTCCTCTAAAGTGTTAACCATTTGCATCCAAAATATATGAAAATCATAATGCTTTAAGATGTATTTGCATTGCAGCCCCACCTAAGAAAGGAGAGAACGTTGCCAAACAACTGAGTGACGATGAAATAGTAAAGCAAATAAAGCGAGTCGATCAAGATATGAAATGTTCTGATTATAACAAGTGACAAAGATTTTATGGGGATTGTAAGTCATCTTAAAACTTCGGGCTTGTTCACAATGGTGTTCTCTACTACTGCCTTGAGCGATAAGTGTATTACGTTGAAACACACTTTTAAAAGTGTGTTATCAAATTTTTGAGGAATATAGTTAGTGAAATTCTAGTTTAATTTGGAGAATTATTTATTATTTTTAAATGGTAAAATTTAAAGGAATAAAAAAAAACACAATTTCTCTCAATTTTTTTCCTTTAAAGTGTAAATATTTGCACCCACAATGTACAAAAATCATAATGCTTACTTGTTCATGGTTACTCGATCCTGAATAGAAGAGGTTAGTACGATCATCAATTTGGTTCATTTTGTCTCTCAATTTCATTGCAAATGATGATGATGAAAAAGTTTAAATTTCTTAGCCCATAGCGTAAGAAAGAATTTAAGAGAAAAATAAAAAAAAACTCTAAAGACAGTTCATCTAAAAACTGAAAGAAAGACAAGATTCACTACTGCTCTTTATCTTTGTATAGTGCTTTGCATCCTCAGCTGAGGTAGTATACACTTTTGATAAGTGTATTATCAAATTAAGATATTTGAGGATATTAACACACTTTCAATAAATAAAAGAGACTTTATTATCCTTTTTCTCTATTTTATTGAATTGAGTCAAAGTTTTAGAATTTTAAAAAATTCATAAATATAAACTTTTTCATTTGATCACAAACAAGGCTGTCATAAACAAAAGAGAACTCCGTTGTCATTGCAGCTCATGATAGACTAAGGCTGCTTGATTGTCACTGAACAAGACAGCAGAATCAACCAACTGAATGTGGCCATCAAGCAGAAGATTGTTGAACCAATCTAATTCACAATCAACATTATCCAGTACTGCCTCAACTAATCTATGTTATATGGATACGCACGCACTTATATATAACATATGTTAGTTTTTTCTTAAATCTAATTTGTTTCCTATATTTTTTTGAAAAAACATAAGTGCGTGAGTGTAATAAATAAAATGTTTGCAAGAGTACAGTTAATGTCAAATGTAGTAACCAGCTTGCCGTATTAGAGTTTAGAGACACAACAATATTTGCAAGAGTACAGTTAATGTCATATTGATAACAACGATCCAATATTGTTAGCAAATTACGAATTTTCAAATCACAAATAGCAATTTTCGTTTCTTTGGTAGGTACAAAGCACCGATCATGTTCATATGAATTGACATTGGCATGGCTCAGTCACAAATAAAACAAATTATTTACGTCTCATTAAATATATTATTTGGGTAGTAAATTGCTAAGAGTTATTGAATGATGAAGAAAGATAACAATCTTCTTTGTTGTGTATCTCTAATGTATATCTATTGAATTAGTAGACTCTTTTCCTGCTCCGATTAATAAACATACAATTAGAGAAACTCCTTGTAGATTATTTTTCAACATTTGCAATAGTTTCTCAGTTGTGCTGCGGTTTTGAGTAAAAATCACATGGTATTTGCTTATTTTCTTGCCTGACAATAAGCAGAGTGAGTGAAATATATAATCACTAATTTTCGAAATTTGACATTGAAACGTCTCTGAACTACCAACTATGTTTACAACTGCGGAACGAACAGAAATACATTGGACTGCGATTGGTGTTGCCATAAGTCAAACGTGAAAGATTCGAGAATGAAATTTAAAGATTTCATGACGATGTATAAAGCGTAAATTTGGTAATGACACAACAGATCAGACGGGAACGCTTTTTTATAACATTTTTTTTATACATGTCTGTAAAATTTAATAATAAATACAATGAGATCTGTAATGCATTATGCATGCATTGGGGTACCTCAAACTCGTCCTAAGCTGGAGATTCCATACAAATAATGATACATTTTAATGTTTAAGCAACTTTTTGAACTTATGAATAGCTTAATGATGTTGACACTAAAGGTAAAACAAGATAATAGAATCAGGCAATTAGAGAAGTGAAACTAATCAAATTTGGCTATGCTTCCATCCACCAAACTCTTCTCCCTCCATTCCTCTTTCTTGCTGAAAATTCCAAATAAAGAGAAATTAACAAAAAGAGTTTCAGATTAGAGGAGTAAATAAAATTTAAATGGAAAAAAGTAACTAAAGAAAAAGAAAGTACCATAAGAGAGTAGGTAACTCCGAGGAGAATCTCGCCGACAAAGGAGAGATCGGAGTCAACAACGTTGTACTTGGTCGGCCTTAGCTCCGCCGTTCCTTTCTCCACTCCCATTTCCAATAGCTCTTTCACATATACCCTGTTTATTCATACACATTTTAGTTTTATTTCAATCAAATATATAACACGATTCTATATGCAAAATGTATTTAGTGTAACTTCTTACGTGGCTTGGCCGATGAAATCGTCGGTGGAGAAAGTATCGTGATCCATGACTTTGACGATAAGCTTATAGTCAGCGCCAGAGCCAGGAAACTCTGCTCTCCATTTCAGTTTATCATTCCACGTCGGGTTTCTACCTCCATCTTTTCCATTTAATATATAACACAAATCTCAGTCAAATCTTTAGTAATTCATTCTTAAAAATGATATTTTGTATCATATCGTTTTCAAATTTCACGTGCCCATTTTTTTTTTTTTTTTTGTTTATCTCACTTTTCATGAGAAGGAAATTAAAATATTTTATCCTATTAGTAAAAAGCAGTTTGTTTCGTGAGTTATAATTTAATTAATTATATATGACGTTTGGTGTATATTGATGATTAGTTTAAAATGAGGTTGCCCATACAATCCCACACTAAATGAGATTACTGTTTTTAGAAGAAAACTGCATACTTTGACAATACTACGAACGATAAAAGATAACTTTTGTTAAATAGTCAACACATTCTAAAGAAAAAGAAGTACATGTGGGTGTTTAACAGTAAAAATATTCCACGTGACATTATTTTTTCCTCCAAGAAAAGACATTAACCATTTCTCTATTTCTGAAGTTTTGATTAAATCTCTCTGAATTCCCTAACAAACAAAATATACTAATAGTATACCAAAAAAAAGATGGAGAACTAGTCTGTCGCATGAAACGAAAGAAGTCAAACTAAAATGGCGAATAAAGCTGAATGAGATTTGGAGATATGAGGAGAGAATGAAAACATTGAAATTAGTAAGTTTAATTACCTTTATCAACGCTGCTCTTACGGGTTTGTCCTTTGTATTGGATCTCAACATAAGGATCAATCTTACCTAAAAAAAAAAAATTAAATTCAAATTAAGTTAAGCTAAAATCACAAAAAAATGGTTTTGCAAATCAAAAAGGATGACAAATCTGTGAGAGAGAGAGAAAGAAACTAATAATTACCAAGAAAATCAGAGCGTTTGAGACCTTTGCCACTGATCAGATTAACCTCGAGGATTCCCACAGCCATCTCTGGAGAAATTTGAAAATAAAATAAAACTTGGGTTTATGTTGCTAGAAGAAGAAGAAGAAGAAAGATAAACGATGAAGTAGGTTGAATCAGGGAAAGGGCTTTAAATACACAAAGAAAGAAACGCAGATCTTCTCGCTCCAATCAAAATATAATATTCTCTTTATTTATTATTTATTCAATTTCAAACATAACCCGCGTCGTGGTTCCAATCTGGCTGGACCAAAAGACACCACCATACTTATTTGGTCTGGTCAACCACTCAAATTGACCATCTTACCCCTATTTCTAGAACGGTTTTATGCGAGGAAAAGATGAATCAACCACCAACACCAAGTACGAGAAAGACAAAAGCCAAAAGTCTTTGTACTTTTTGTACAGAAACGACCCAATTAAAACATCATTTCATTATAGACTGTTGATGAACTTTTCTTGATTCTCTCTTTCTTTTCTGAGAAATTCTTAGAGACATTGACGACTTCTTCTGGAATTTACAAAGGCTGCTGCTTTGGATTAAAGATAACGTTGTCGATCTTGACCAATTGAGGTTTCTCAAATCAAAAGCTTAACCAAGTTCTTCTTCATACAAACTCTTTCTTATAAAAGATCCTCACAAAGGCACAATCCGAGAACGTTCTCAAGTAAAATCACATCTCAAGAAGAATATCTTTAACAAGCCAGAGAGTAAGGAGTTTTTGAACACATAGATAGAGACCACTACAAGAGAAGCAAAGAGACAAAAACCCATATAGAGTTTGCACACAGTTTTGGTCTGAGAGATAAGAGGCTTTTTAACATAAGTTTCATCTTGGAGACGCCTCCACAGATCTGGACCTGGATCCTGATGGCGACCTTGAAACAGCTCTTCCACCACGACGCCTTTCCTCTGGTTCATATCCCGGTTTTCTGAAATAGAAACCAATCAATGTCAAAACACGAAAAAATAAGCCACAATCAATCAAATCCCTAGGGCCAAAAGAAACACAGACACAATGTCTCACTTACTCTCTAATCTCGTTCTCTCCATTTCTGTCCCGGTCTGCAGCAGTATCACCTACATAGCCAGGGGAATAGGACCTGCGACTGTATTTTCCATCTTCGTCTCCTCGAGGAGGAGCTCTTGGTGGTGATCGTGGACGTTCCTCTTGCCTTCTCCTTGGAGATGCTGAATAGTCTGCTCTTCGTCTAGGTGCAGGAGAGTAAGACCTGTAACATCATTATGTTAATAATATATACATCTTGTTGACCTGACAATGATCGAAAGCTATGAGTGATGAAGCCTGTTACCTTGACCGGTATCTGGTTCTAGAGTCTGATGGACGACGTGGAGAGCGAGATCGAGAGATAGATCGTGAACGAGACCGTCCTGAAAACAAACACGAGCTATGCGTATTAACAAGTGTATCACAATCTAGCTGTGTTCATCATATATGTTGAAAATCTCTTGCTGTTAAACCACATCACAAGCGCATAGTCAAAGAGAAAAATCACTAACCATGAGAACGACCTCTAGAGCCTGAAGGTTCCCTGAAAAGTTGAAACAAATCGTTTGTGAGTATTACTACGCTCTCAACTTCTTTGTATATCAACAATAAACTTACAAGCATTACTCATGAAGAGCGATTTGATTGGTGACTTATTTGCTTTAGCAATCAGAATGCGAAAAACTTACCTACTACGAGTCCTAGTCTTGACACGCATCTCCTCAGGCCTTTTCCTGGACTCTGAAGCAACAACGACAGTTATCTCTCTCCCAGCAAAGATTCTCCTGTTCATGCTTCTCTGAGCCTCCCCAGCATCATATGCATCGACAAACTCCACAAAAGCAAACCCACGCGGTTCCCTGAATCATTCATTAGATGCTTATCATTCCAGGTGGTTGATCGCTGATAGCAAAAGCACATAACACCAGAATCAACACTAGTATTACCGCAAAATCAGCCTATACGCAACCACTAAACTGTATACCTTTCTCAAATACCTTCTGAGAAGTTCTACAAAAAGCAGAGCTCTAATATTCACAAATATGCTAGTAGTAGCTGGTCTTTTCTTAACAGTTCAAGCACAGCAACTCGAAAAGAGGCAAGAGATATCTTGTAAAACGAAGTAGCACTTGATCCCAAACTTAGTTCCCTTCGAGTCACCTTCCCCCAAAAAACTTCTATGGTTTGAGTAAATTATCGTATAGCTTCACTTATAACTGCTTCCATAGAAAGACTCTTCACTTGTTTCTTCCAAACAAAACAAAACATCTTGACTTTTTAACTTGCTCCCAAACACAACACACTCTTCACTTATTAATCTAAGCAAAACTTTCACGAGGCCTTCATCAAATGTGGGGCTTGGTCTTGTTTTAACTTCAAGCCAACATACCCCCTGGGGAATCAGTGTAATATTTAAGAACCAAACCGAAAAGAAGAAGCTCTGGAAAAAAAACTGAGAGCTCAACGAAAAATGTTTCCTCTCACCTCGAGAACTTAGCTCGATCAATAAGTAGGCAGTAACAAAAACTAAAACAAAGTTAAATGCACATCACACAGTTTGCATGCACCAAAATAACAACTCATATGTCATCTTCATTCTATTTCAATTCGAGCACACATTGACATATGAACACCCTTTTAATTTAATCATAACAAATTGTTCAGCATTGAAACTAAAGCATCAAAGCAAATCAGCAGATTAACTAGTCTATCTATAAAGTCTTAACAAATCAAAGTCAGAGTCATTATCATTTGTAGCACATAATCAGTAATCTCACAGGTAAGACGAAAAAGACAACGAAACAGAGCAAGAAAACAAGACTCACCCTGAGTAATAGTCTCTCGGGATATAGACATCCCTCACGGGTCCAAACCTCTCAAATGGCGCACGAAGCTCCTCTGGTCTACAAATCAAACAAAAACAAAATCAGCAAAAAAAATGAAGTCTTTGAAAAGATAAGTGAAATTATAGCCTTAAAACGAGAGAATGAGAAAACCTGCAATCGAGAGGAATGTTTCGAACCAAGAGACTTCCATGACTGGATCCCTTACGTCCACCATATCCACGTCGAGGAGGAGGAGGAGGAGGGCTTCTTCCCCGACCACCATACCCTCTCCTCGGAGGACTGTAATAAGGCGGACTGTATCTCCTCATCACTATGTGTACAAGAAACGATTTCAACGCGAGATCAAGCAAAAAAAGAAAAAACACGATTCTTGGAAGAAAAAGTAAGAAATTAGGGTTTTGCAATCGGACGATTTTCTGGAATTTTACCTGCGATGGTAATTTGAGAGTAGCAGAGAAGATAGTAAAAGAAAAAGGTGTTGAAGACAGATCTGATTTGAACCCTAAGCTCTTCTCTTCTTGATAAAGAAAGACTACTGTTTTTAGAGAGGAGAAGGTGACTTTCTTGATTTCTTTCTTCTCCTATTGATTAGAGTGTTGGCCCATCTACTAAATGGGCTGGGCTTCCTCCTTATATTGCGTTTTTTTTCTTTCCCATGCTAATATTTATTTTGCACGCATCAAATTAAAATATTATTGGTTTTTTCTTCCAATTTGATAAATTTAAAATTTTTAAATGAAGCTTTTATTCATAGTCTAATGGTCTTTTGGGGGTCTCTAAAATCGATATTTATGTTGTTTTACGTGTGTGTTATATAACAAATCAGTTTGACAAAAATGAGTCATAATTTAATTCAACAGCCGTAATGACTAAAAAATACATGGTCACTAAACAAATCAGTTTGACAAAAATTTAGTTAGAAGAGTGTATACACCAAAATATTGGACCACTACCAAATTTTGGCATAATGTATCATCACCAAAAGATTCGATCTATCAAACAGTAAAGAAAAATTCCAAAATCAGTATATCAGGAGGAAAACTATATAACGAGTGTCACAAAAAAAACAATTCACACAAAATATTACAAACACACGAGGAGACATGAGAACTAAACTAGGATGAAGTCAGTAACGCACTTCTTTCTTGTTAAAGCCGTTTTTGGGGTACTTGTCTTCGGTTTTAAACCCCACAACTTTCTTGGTATCCTTAACCGGGTCGACTTTCCCCGGTTTAGCCATGCTTTCCTGCAGTTGTATCAAGGCTCGGACCACTTGGTCCATGGTCGGGCGCGACTTTGGTTCGGACGAGATGCACTGCACAGCAATGCTCGCCATTCTCACTGCCTCTTCTGGTTTGTACTGTGAGTTAAGACGAGTGTCCACAATTAGTAACACCTTTCGCCTGCTCGTGAGGTAAGGTCGAGCCCAGTCCACAAGGTTTTGCTCTTTCGCCGGGCGGTTATTGTCCAACGCTCGTCTTCCAGAGAGTATTTCTAGAAGCACGACCCCGAAACTGTATACGTCGCTTTTAGCATTCAAGTGACCTGAAAAAAGATACAAAATTTGAAGATGATGAAACAATGTAACTCTAACCGCATAAATGTCCTATTTGCATCATATCTTATTCATTAGTACCTGTGGACACATACTCGGGAGCGGCGTAGCCAAAAGTACCCATGACCCTTGTACTAACATAGCTTGTTTCTCCCATTGGACCGTCTCTCGCTAACCCAAAGTCTGAAAGTTTCCCATTGAAGTCCTGTTGTCATCAAATAAGAACCAAGTTAGTATCTTTTGAGTGAGACTAAATTAGATTATCGAAAGAGAGAGCATGTGGGTGGTACCGAGTCGAGCAAGATGTTGGAGGCCTTGATGTCTCGGTATATGACTTTGACAGGGTCGCTATGAAGAAACGCGAGCCCTTTAGCTGCATCAAGCGCAACCTTTATCCGTAGAATCCAAGAGAGCGGCTTACACTTCACATCATCTGCTTCAAAACCCATTCAAACATTAAGAACAAAGAACACTACAATCTCTTCTAAAGAGTCTCATAAATATTGATTTATGACTTACTTGTGAATAAATGATCCTCAAGACTACCCTTGTGCATAAACTCGTACACAAGAAGCCGATGCTCATCTTCCAAGCAGTAACCAATCAATTTAACTAGATTCGGGTGACTTAACTGTCCCAAGTAGTTGATCTCTGTCTGAATTTACACCACCAAACACAACAGATCAGAATCAAAAACACTGGAAGTTTGAGACTGGGAAGATAAAAAAGAACATGTTGTGTACCAGCCATTCTCTGTGACCTTGAAACCCATCAGGGTTAAGCCGCTTGACAGCAATTACAAGACCAGTGCCCGATTTAGCTGGAGAGAGAGTTGTCTCATCGATCCATCCTTTATAGACACAACCGAAGCCGCCTTCTCCGACAACAGAGTCCGATCTGAAGTTTCTGGTCGCGAGTTTGAGTTCGTTGAAGCTGAAGCTTTTGACGTTCGCCTTGCTAAGTATCTCTCCTTCTCTCTTATGAGCCGCCGATGATGATGAGTTATAACTCGAGAGGTGAAGGTCGTAGAGACCACTGCTCTTATCTGCACAACACACAAACCGTTGACCAAAAGTCAAAATTGAGGAGACAAACTTTTCTTTATTTAGATCACGGGAATATTCTTGCAAATTTCATTCCTTTTATTGAAACCCATCATCAATATATCGACAAAAGACAGAATTGGAAGAGAGACACATGCAAATCTCAAAACTTCCCGGTAAAAAAAGAAGTACAAAAATGGGAGATTAAAGGAAGCTGATTGAGAAAAAAACACTTGTAGTTGCAGAGAACGTACTATCAACACGAGAACTGAGGCAAGAACCCATTAGTAGACAAGGGAACCAAGGGTTAAGGAAGAAGCTCGATTTGCTCCTTTTATGACAGTAAATTGGTTCTTCAGCTGTTTTTGTGTATAATAGATTCTGTCAGAGAGAAACATGGGAAGGGAAATTATAGGAACTCAAAAACCCATTAAAGTTGAACAATAAAGGAGAGAGAAAGAGAGAGACTGAGGGAAGAGGACGATGGGTGTTGATGAGATACGAGAGGCAGACGAAGAAGAAGAAAGGTCTTTTCTTTGTGTAAATGAAGTCCAAAAAACAAATTGAGACAAAAGTTGCTCTTTGACCAAAAGGCACATTTTTGGGGTTGTCTAATCGACGAAACCGAGTTCAAAAATAAATATAATTAATAATCGGTGGAGTTTTTTTTCTCTTGTTTGGTTTTACTTTTCATTACATTAATGATTTGATTCTTGGATGTAAATGACTAACATAGCCGTACTAAATAGATCACTAATGATAAGAATAGATACTACAAGATAAAGTCAAAATAGACCTGACACAGATGGTCACTCGATTTTGAAATCTTCTGCCTTGTGGGGTTGGATGCAAGAAAAAAGAGGAAAATGTTTGATATTCATGTCATAGGTATATATATCCTTTGGGTGTGAAGAAATGATGAGAGACACATATTTAGGTTTAGTACTATTTGGTCTGATGGAAACACGTACAAAAGCTAGTTTCCACTATTGTAAAATTTGATAAAATTTAGGGAAAATTTATACAAGTAGGTAAGAAAATTAAGATTTGTAAGGAGAAGGAACTATACTTATGTATAATGTAATTAACTGTTCAAACTATTATGTGCAAAAATGTTACTAACCAGTAATGGAACGAAAGGTTTATTCAAGTAGGTAAGAAAAGTAAGACCTGTCAAAAAAAATTCTACTTGTGTATATTACACTAAACTACTAAATATAGTATTTAGTATCATGGGGCACAAATTATATACATATATAGTTGGCGAACAAAAGTATCCATAAATGCAAAGCAAATTACAGTATTCAACTACAATGTTGTCCTCGTATGCCAAAATCTCAAATTTAATTTTTAAAAAAGAAAACAAATATACTATTTTAACTCAGACTTATAAAAAGGTAGTTCATTTTTCATATAAAGATGTACTGTCAAATCATTTCAAAAGTAATATTTTTGCGATTAACATAATTCGTTTTACCGGGTGTGCATATAGTAGATGGTAATAACTAATTTGTCCGATTGTAATTCTGCTTATAGATCTTTTGTTCCCTTGTCAAATTAACACATTCAAAAATCAGAAAACCTTATTTTAGTTATATATATTTTTTTTTTTGAACATTTGCTTATTATTTTAGTTATATGCAACCCAACAATACTCCATCGCGGATTGATGGGTGATGACTTGGTCAAACCTCCCTTTCTAAGGTCACAATTGTTTGCTCGTTACGCTAATAAGTCCAATGTCAACTTAACAATATAAATAAAACTCGAAATTTTTAAAGTCATGTCGTCTTAAATAATCAATTTTTTTTCCCGAAAAGTGGAACACTGCGGAATACTAAATATTTAATTTGTGAGCAACTCTAGAAATGTGGGTTGACTTAAAAAGATTAAACGTAATCACGTTTGTATTGTGTTTCATTAATTGGATTTTCGTGGTCAGGTCAACTTCCATATTTATTACTTGAGACTTGAGAGAGTTCAGTACGTTTAACAGTTTTGACATACGGAGCTCTTCTTTTGGACTTATCCGTCTCTCAGGTCTCAACTATTACTAGTACTAAACTTCTTACCATTCACTTTTTTTTTCTAAACCAAAAATGATATTTCTAATAATGAGTTCCTCCATTAATTTTCATAATGTTAGACGTTTTTCATGATTACCGACAATAAAAGTTGAAAATAACCAATACTTCTAAAAGCTAAAATGTCAAAATTGATAAGCTAATAGGCACTAGGATAAAGCGATATATATATATTTTCTCACTCGTTGACAGCTTATATGGCAAAACCCCGTAAGTCTAATCATTTCATCATTCGATAAGTATTGGACTTTTCAAATTGACTGACACATTAATCAGAGTGCAAGCATAAGAATTAGCAACAAAATACTAATGGAAGTGGGAGCAATGACATTTCGGCTAGTTGATGAAACAGAACTGTAAAAGAGTAAAAGCGAGTGATACAATGAAAGTTAGCTACACAAATTTTTTTACCGCGGAATTAGATTCATTATTTTACCGCGGAAACATTGCCAATTAAAGCCATTAATAAAATAAAACGGTAAATAGCGATAATGATCGGAACATTAGGCCGTTGATTGGGTATCTGTGAAGCAAGTATTTTAGAATCGAAAAGATGTTAAATTACGGAACACAACGTCACTCAGGAAGTTTTAAAAAGGGAGAGATTTGCAAGTCAACAGCTAAATAAATGGCGAAGAAAATGATGGTTGCGATCTCAGAACAACACACGAGTGACATGCCAAATACAACTGAAGCAGAAAGTATCAAAATACTGTATCCATCAACTTATTCATTTTATCCGAGTTGTGACTGAAAAAGGTAAAAAAAGGATTTGAGATTTGCTTCATTAAGCGCTTTTCTTCACCTCCGCGGCCTTAATGATGTCGATAAACTCAGGCTGCAAAAAGCAACAATGAAAAAAGAAACATATTAGATATGGTTTTGACTGAAACAAACCATGTTGTTATTACAAAGGCATAACATAATCTCTGTATGTACCTTTAGAGAGGCACCACCGACCAAGAAACCATCAACATCAGTCTGCCCACCTAGCTCCTTGCAGTTACCACCATTCACAGATCCTGATAATAATTTGCATAATTCAAGCTATAAGGTTCATAGATAACGCATTTAATCAGAATCAAACTACCGCCTTATGATATTATGGTATTCTTTGTTTACCTCCATAAATGATGCGGGTTGTAGCAGCGACATCAGCGCTCACGTTCTTTGCAAGCCATTTCCTCAGCTCATCATGTACCTGTGTTTCACAAACGAGAAAGAGTATTGGTATACATTTCAAGTCATGACGATAAGCTACAAATGTTTAACTGCTCACACGCATGGAGAATAACTTACTTCTTGAGCTTGGGCTGGGCTAGCGACCTTTCCGGTTCCAATGGCCCACACTGGTTCATAGGCTATGACAACTTTCGACCAGTTCGACACTCGATCTGCCATTAAAAAACAATAAAGAGTTCTTTGTAAGAAAAAAGTACTACAAAACAATTCTCAACAGTTTGAAGACACACCAAGAAAGTATAGTGAGCAGAGACAGAAACTGATAGCATCATAACAGTCCAGAGTCAACGAGAACGAACTATAAGATGCAAAAAGAGATAAGAGGTGTTTGACAATAAGCATACCAGCAATAGCTTTAGTCTGAGCGGCGACAACATCCATGGTCGACCCAGCCTCCCTCTGCTCAAGAGTCTCTCCGACACAAGCAATAACACTCAAACCTTGAGCAAGTGCATAGGCAACCTTGTCTCCGACGAACTACAAATGTAGGATAGAAGCCGCAAATCAAAATCCTGACTCTTTAATATCCAATTCGATCACCATGGTTTTTTCTACTATTATAATCATGAAAGATCACCGACCTCGTTTGACTCGTTGAGGAGTGCCCTCCTTTCAGAGTGACCAAGGATAACCCATGGGATGTCCAAGTTCACAAGCATCTCCGCACTGCACACACGAATTACAGAAGGAATAAGGGCAATACCAACGAATAAAAAGTACAGACGCCACGGAAAATAAACCTTTATACACGAAAGCTTTAAATTTGCATTTTCGACATGCTTATCTAACCAGGCACTTATCCAATCATGCTCATACTCTCAACTGTTAGTTCTTTTGTTAATCACTTAACGTTATTAATTTCTTATAAGAAACAAGATCAAGAAGAGCAAAAGCAAGATGAAGAGCTTGTTTTCTTCTACCACAATCATTTGCATCTTCAAAACCATAGATATTTACTACATGAAGACATATATAGCTAAAACAGCTGATAGTAGAAATAAGTGACGAGAGTCTCACCTCACTTCACCAGTGAAAGCACCTCCTTTCTTAACCCAACAGTTTTGTGCCGCAACATGGAAGTCAGACCTCAATGTGCTCTTAACCAGAGGAAGGAAAACATATGGAGGGCTAACCACAACCTCTGCATTGGTAAAAGTTTCACTATGTTATTAAGCAAACAACGGCAGCTATATTCGTCTAACAACAACAACTTGATCTTGTATAGGCTCGCTATATAATAGCCATATACGCCGAAACAAGTTTGTTTGTATGCTTTTTCCAGAGCAAAATCAGTTCAGAAACTCCTCTACTTAGTTAATAGATTGTCCAGTACAAGCATTATCAATATTGAGATTTCTAGCCACATTCACATCCCTAAAATTTTCATAGACATGCAAAAGCAAAAAAAATAAAGGACATTCCCAGACAAAGCAAACGGGTTTGCTGCACTTACCTACGACATCCTGTGAGGGTACTTGAGCTTCATTAAGAGTGTTCACAATCTTCTTCACCTCCTCGGCAGTTCCATTCTACAGATTGGAAATTCAGAGCAAAACATAAGCATCATTCTCTCAAACAACAAGAGCGTGATCCAAACAATAGACCCGAAATAATCAATCAATCCCAACATCTTTAAAAAAGTTTAGCCACATGCCCAGATCTATCAAAGCTTGAAACACCAGATCAATCAATCAAGAGAGAGAGATCCGGCATCGAATTGTCAAATCTCAACAATCGGTATTAGATCAAACCCATCAAATCAAAACATGGATCTCAATTTCAACGTCAATCGAAGCAAAAAGGAATAGGAACCTTTAAAACGATCTTAAGATCGGGACAATTCAATCTATTCCCTAGTTACTTGCACTTGATTGGCGGAAGATTACAAACAGATCAAGGACGAGCAACCATCAGTAACTAACTAAGAAGCACACACAAAAATAATTAGGCGAAGAAGATCGCTTACGCATTTCCAGTTGCCTCCGACGAAGAACTTTCTGGCCATCTTCTCAAGTTTCAGACGATGATCACGAGAAAAGCCTTAGGAGTCACAGAAACGACGATGGAGAGAGAGCTAAAGCAAAATAGATAGATCGAGGAGAGTGTTCAGTGGCCGTTGTCTCTCGCAGGGGTCACAAATATATAAATAAATCTCAATGTATTTGAGTTAGGAAATGACGATTGTCTCTAGGGTATAGAAGAATATTCCCGGAGAAAACTAAGGAAATAAGAGGGTAATAACGTAAATTACGAGAGGGTGATGTAATATTGTGGACGTGTAGCCCAAGGTCTGGTTGGTGTGGGTGTGTTTCGAGATGTAAAACGACGGCGTGGATAATGATGTCATAAAAAGGCTTTAGGCCCACTAAAGTACATGGTAAAGCCCATTAACATGTTCTTTGCTAAAACTTAATGCTCTTTGCCGCCCATTAACGTGATCTTAATTAACTAATTTGTTTTATTTTCTCCAATCCCGTAAAATAATTTGTGTGATTCTGAATTTCTGAAATCTGAATTATATATATTTCGGCTACCTTCGTTAGTCTGCTCTTGACATTATTAACATACGGCGTGAAGAAGCATGAGGCGTGAACATCCAACGTTTGACTTGAGACAAAACAAAATAATACTCCCAAGGTCATTTTGTGTAATTATCTTTTCTATTTTTAAGAAAAAAAGTTACGTTGTTTGTATAATCAGTGTAACAATATCAAATTGACAAATGAGTAATGACAATGACTATAAACTGTTAACTAATGGCGACGACGGAGACATGAAAGGATCCAAGAAAGCACAACAAATGGGTAAGAATTAAAGAAAGAAAAAAACAATTTAAAAAAAAAAAAGAGTACGTAAAGGTTAAAAGAAGAATCAGCTTCCTCAATATCTTCATACTTCGAAATACGAATCTATTTGACTTTGGTCGGTAGTGTTCAAACTCCTACGATTCCATCTTACAAACACGTGTCCTTATCACCCTATCAGAAACCGCGTCGATCTAATCTATCTCCTCTTTTTTTTTTCATTTAATATTGTAATCATACATTTGGTAATTACATTTAATATCATCAATAACTATATTTTATGAGTTTAGTAGTAAAATTCGAAAACTCAGATCTCTCATGATCTCATTAAGAACATCTTAAAAAAAGCATATCCAAAAATGCAACACTCTGATATCTACATTGTTTAAAAAAAAATGAAACGAGTAATTTTCTGGATAAAATTAGGATAGTCAAATTAATACAATCAAATAATTTTGAGAGTAACAAAAAAATCAGGCCTAATTTTCAGATTAAAATTGGATAATTTAAGTATTAAACAGCACCCAAATAAGTCATAACCAATAAAGAACACCAAGAAATGCCACTATTATTTATCCAAAAAAAACTATACTTAGCCAAATTATCTAAATTTTCACGGTCACAACAAAATCCACTTTTTCAATTATTTACAACGTCTAAATTTAAGCCGACGCACATGAAAAGACAATTAAAGTTTTCTTTTCCTTTCTAAGTAATCCAGCTGTTCGTCACTAAAAATATACATATACACACTTTTACACACGTATACGCCTATACAAACGGTCATATCTATTTGTTTATTAATTCATTATATATAGTTTTCTCAATAAGCATTAAATATCTCTCTCATTAAAAAACACCTCAAACGATTCACGGGTTTCACTTGGAATCGTTTGATTTTCTCATTTTACCGAAACTAGCAAAATGGCCAAAGCGCCACCCTCAATCTCTCTCTTCCTCCTCCTATCCGCCGTCGTATTCATCACCCTCCCCGCCGTGATTTCCGCCATCGGCGTTAACTACGGCACTCTCGGAAACCTCCCGCCGCCGTCTCAGGTGGCGAATTTTCTCAAGACTCGGACTTCGATCGATAGCGTCAAGATCTTCGATGTGAATCCCGATATCCTCCGTGCCTTCGCCGGAACTGGAATCTCCGTCGTCGTCACCGTTCCTAACGGTGATATTCCGGCGTTAGCTAATGGAAGACAAGCTCGTCGGTGGGTTTCGGCAAATATTTTGCCGTTTCATCCTCAGACGAAGATCAAGTATATCTCCGTCGGAAACGAGATTCTGCTCACCGGAGATAATAACATGATCAACAATCTTCTGCCGGCGATGAGGAATCTTAACACTGCTTTGGTTCGTGCTGGTGTCAGAGATGTTAAGGTCAGCTTTTCTCTTCATTTCCTTTATCTCTAGATTTTTCTGTTTTTGGTAAATAAATAAATTTTTGCCCAAAAAAAAGGTAAATAAATAATTTAGATTATTAGTGTTGATGTCATTATTATTTTTTTGAACATTTTTTTAGTGATGTCATTATTTTGGTAAAGTTTTTTTAAGAGAGATGGTCTTCATTTAAAAACTTTAAAATCTCTACTTTGGATGTTGGAATTACAAGTGACGAAATGCTATTTGTTTACTTAACTTTTATCTTCTTTTTTCACTAAAAAAACGCGTAATTATTAGTTAGTAATTGATATGATTGGCGTGAAAAATGCATTGTTTTTTTTTTCTTTTCTTTTTTTAACTGAAAATGCATTGATTGCGCATATAAAGTTGGAAAACCATGGAATAACCAAGCGGATTATTTTTGAATCTTAGATTTGTAATCTGTAGTTTTTACTCTGTCGTCTAAATTTAAAGGGAAAATTTAAATTTAAATAATTATCATTTAAAGGGAAAATTTATAGCGATGATAATTATTCAAGGTCCGACCATATAGACTATTCCACGTGCTATCTTACCGTCCAATGTTGTCTTTAGATTCGGACATGAGTGTACTGTTTAAATTAGTGACAAAAAGCGAAAACAAGTCGTAATGTGTCTGGCATGCCTTTAGTCTCCTTTCATCACATCAAAAATATATATATGCTCCTTGGAAATCAAATAATAAACCAATTTCATAGAAATTAAGACCAACATGTGTAACTTGTCACAGACTGATAAGCAATAATTTGATTCTAACGTATTATTTGTTGCAATTTGGTCTTCAGGTGACAACCGCACACTCACTTAACATCATAGCCTATGACCTGAACGGTGCACCAAGCAGCGGTCGATTCAGACCTGGCTGGGACAAAGGCATATTGGCTCCAATCCTAGCTTACCATCGCCGTACCAAGTCTCCTTTCATGATTAACCCTTACCCTTACTTCGGTTTCGACCCCAAAAACGTCAACTTCGCCATTTTCCGTTCACCGTACAAGGCCGTCCATGACCCGTTCACCCGCAAAGTCTACACAAACATGTACGATGCTCTCATGGACTCGACTTACTCCGCCATGAAGGCTCTTGGCTACGGAGATGTTAACATCGTCGTTGGCGAAACCGGCTGGCCATCAGCCTGCGACGCACCTTGGTGCTCCCTGGAAAACGCCGCTTGGTTCAACCTCAACATCATCAGACGTTCACAAGGCCAAGGGACACCTCTCATGCCTAACAGACGGTTCGAGACTTACATTTTCGGTCTCTTTAACGAAGAAGGCAAACCCGGTCCGACCGCAGAGCGAAACTGGGGGCTTTTCAGATCGGATTTCTCACCGGTTTACGACGTTGGTCTCCTCCGTAACGGACAAGGCGGCGGAGGCGGCCGTCCAGCATTGCCCGCGCCTAGTACCGGCGGTGGTAAATGGTGTGTGGCTAAGTCGGGAGCGACTGATGCGCAGCTGCAAGGGAATATTGATTGGGTGTGTAGTCAGGGAGGCGTTGATTGTAAACCGATCCAAACCGGTGGTTCGTGCTATAACCCGAGCAGCGTGAGGACGCATGCGTCATTTGTGATGAACGCTTATTTCCAGAAAAACGGACGCAATGACGGGTCGTGTAATTTCAGCGGAACCGGAGTCGTCGTAGGGAACAACCCAAGCAATGGTGCTTGTAGGTACTAAGAGATTTGTCTGTCTATGGTAGCACTTGTTTGGGAAAGTCCTAACTTAATGGAACTTTGGGTTGGAGAGATTCATCGGCTTTTGTGTTTTAATTTCGGATATTTTGATTTTAATGTTTTTAAAAAATTCATTCCTTTTTTTTTTGTAAATTCTTGAATAAATAAAGGGGTACTTCTCTTAATATTTGCTTCAGACTCACGCTTGAACGCATTGATTTATGTGTCTTTATGGTCCTTATGTTTGATTTAGATGGTCCATCAACCTATAAAGCAATGTAAACGTTAGAACATCTTTATCAGCAAGATAATTATGTCTTCCAGGCCATAAGATTAGCAGCACTAGTCGATTTTTTTTTTCTAAATGCTGATTCCTCGGCCAATCATACTTTGGTGATTTAACATAAGTATGTATTCGGGTCCATAATCGAAATTTAAGTTACAAAAATTTCCAAATGTAATTACTCTTTGAGATATGAATCGTTAATATTATTATTTAGTATTAATATCTAATAATAAATTTGATTAAAAACTCGAAATGTGGCTCCAATTCGTAACCATTGTCCATTATTGTTAAATAAGCCAATCTTGAACATAAAGTTTTAGTGTTGTGTTTTCCTCCCCTATTTTGAGTCAAACGTGAGCAAAATGCATATAGAAAAGTGGCTAAAATCACATTGGCAATGGAATTTTACAATGATGACATTGATTTGTTAACATAGCATGGATATTGACATTGCTATTATAGAATTATTAAATTTTTTGCTGGTCAAATATGTAAACAGTTTGTTGGTCAAAAATATAAACAATACAGTATGATATGCATTAATGAGTTTTTTGATCTCATATTTTGACTGGTCACGATGTAGAAGCCAACAATTAGTGAAACTTGTTTTCGTTATACCAGCCCACGTAATATCGACACCGACCCAAAATTACGAAAGCTAATGATAAAAGAGATCAACAAAATTGAACGAAAACATCTTGCATCCATAGGACTGTCATCATCAACAAATATGTTTTGTTTTGTTGGCGAAAGAACTCTAAGTGAGATTCAGCCTTTGATACATGAACTGATACAATCCAACACAAACATTTTGATCTTATTCATATCAATCTTCCACCAAAAAAGCAAAATATTAATAACAATCCCTCATCACAATTTCATTAGGGAACCAAAAATAAATAATAATCAAAACTATTTGTTCTCATATAAAATAAAAGGAGTAAAAAAAAAGGAAAAAAGAAGAAGAGGGCCACTTCTAGTGAGCCATGGCAAAAGGAGGGCAAGAACTGTAATTAATAGCTTTCTGGTGGGGCATTACGAGCATTGCGGTGTGATCCATGAAGTCTTTTAATGCCACCACCGCCTGTAAAATTACCTTTAAGTCCTCCGCCGCCGCGAACCCTTCGTTTCCGGCGTTTCTCACGGCGTAGACATAAAACGTGATGCAACCTTTCCTGAATTTGAATCGTGCCATCTCCCAATTCTTCAATCTTCTGATCATCTTCTTGTTCACATCTCCTAGCGGTATCTCCGGTGGCCAGATTCCTCCCTCCGGCGTCGCAACCGCCGTCTTCATCGCCTCCGATTCGAAAACGAACACCACCACTTTCGATTTCCTCGTACCTAGCCCGAGGGTTAGTGTGTGCCAAGCGTGGTGGGCTAAGATCGTGAAGTTCGTCGGAAGATACGCCGCCGTGGAAAGAAGCGGCGGCGACGATGAAGAAGGGAGAGATAAGAGTTTAAGGAGCTCGAGTGTTCTGGCTCGCCGGATTGTAAATGATTTGACGATTATCTGGCCGCCGAATTTGAGGCCTTTAACGTCGGAGGAAGGTTTGAAGGAGATGTCCGGCGAGGATTTGCTATCTTTCTTCTTCTTCTTCTTGCTTTTCTTCTCTTTCTCTTCCATGGCCGTTGCTCTGTTTCTTTCTTTCTCTCTAATGAGAAGTTTAGTAACTTTGGTTGGTGCTTTTGATTGAGCCCCTCTCTTCTTTGTTTCTTTTTGATTTTTGTAAAAAATGATTTTCTGAATTATGTTGTTTCTTGATTTTGTAATATTATTATTACAAAGTCATGGCTCATGAGACAGTGTCCAAGTCTGTTTAATTGGAAAGTTTGTTTAGACATCAAATGCAATAAATGCGATTTGTACAGATTTTCTTTTTCATGTCTCCACATTTTATGTTTTTTTTTTTCCTTCTAATTTCTGGCTTTTAAACGTTTAAACAGGTTTGTAAGGTTTATTTAATAAATAAGTTAGATAATTAAAATTTTGAGCTACATCGAATGAGTCATGAGTAATTTTGTGAGTTAATCTCGTTGGTAATATATAGTATTTCTTATCAACAATGACAACAAACAACACGTGAATAGGTTTATTTACGGTGAAACTGCCACTATAGTTGTATCATACAGAGAAAACCAAAACGAAAAATATCGAAGAGATGAACTACATTGCGATAACAACAAAAAAACACATAGGCTAACTCTACAAATACTTGTCTCTTGATGATAACTGTCTGCAAAACCGTATCTACTAAACAATAGTAGTATGAAATAAATTCAAATCACGAGAGTTATTTATAACTGTAGTAACAATACTTTAAAACATTTTTTTGATAACATTCCCGATACTAGCTTTCAGTTATATACTAGTAATATTTAAAGTTTCTCCCTACTATTGCCGACACTACGAACTAATACAAACATGTCTTGTTTAGCTCACCCACCAACATTTGTTTATATCTCTTGTAAAAACTAAACGACTTCAATCTGATATCAATGACATTTCTATAAATATAAATACATATAAAGCATCATTCAAATTTTTTACTAGCAATGTTTTCGGACTAGCATTCCACAAAATATGTTATATTCCTTCCCTATCTTTTTTTTTTTGAAATTTGTATATTAGCCTAGGTTTATTTTGATGAAAAGTTAACTAAGATGAAATTGTATTAATCTTGTAAAAATACTATTTTTCTTTCATGTTTTTTTATTAATTCGTTAATTAATTAACTGTCATCATAAAAGTCTTATAATCGAATCCCAAAAGTAGGATAATGCTTGTGAAAGTCGAAAAAGAAAGTAGCATAATTCTTGTATAAACATAGTACAGAACAAGAAAGTAGTTCTAGTTGTATTTCAAATGGGCCTATTATTAATTTCAAAATAAGGTTTTGTTTTGGTGGATTACTTAAATACTTAAATGCATTTAGGTAGTGAAGTCTTGATCCCTCCTAGTATGATATTAAACACATCAATTACATGCAAGACTAGTCAAGCCCCCTTTTATGTTTCATCAAATTATTGGCTTGCACCGTCAAGTAAAAATTAACTTTAACGTTACTGAACATGTTTCAATTGATAAACAACCGTAGCACCTATTAACTAACTAGCTTGCAGCGTTTTTGCTGTGTTTTTACGATATTGCAATGAATTTTATGATATGCGATAATTCTGTCTTCACCGTAAGTTGAAGTTTCTTTCGTAATTATGTATGGAGCTAGAGAGAGAGAGACAGATAATTAGCGAGTAAGCGTGATTTATAGAATTTTGTGTGACGTTGGATATTTATTTCAATAAAAACTAAAAATTAACAATGAAAAAGGAATAAAGATTTGATGGTGAAGCTGGTAATGATGGTACCAAATGTCTCACACATGACAGGTATGAGTGCAACCATTAAAAGCATATTTTTCGCAGCAGCAATTAGAGTGGCTCCACAAATTTGCTTTTTTATAAAGTGATGCATTATCAAAAGGAATTCTCGATTTATTATTTTTACATTTTGGATAATATAAAGTATATGATGATAGTATATTACATGTCACATATATCATCGTATGATATGTATATGTGTTGAAGATCGATGGTGTATCCATGTACCGAAACGTAAAAAAGGCATCTTTTTAAAACAGTAACATTCTGAGTTTACTTGTTATATCCTGGTTGTTTTAATGTATAACAACTTCACTTTGTTCAGTGGGTGGATGAAGTTATGGTGGAGGAGGTTGAATATTGAACAAATCTACCTTCGCTTAGGCATTTGCAATCCCAATTCCCACTGTGAATTACTGATATCTTTTTTTTTGTTTCTTCGGATATGTTGAGAAAATTGGTACGTAGAGTTTTACTTTTGTCTAGACTCTTGAAATCTAAAAATCGAGTTTTTGTTTTCTTTCTTTGGTCAAATGTTTTGTGGTTACAATTGAACATCCAAAGACTTGAGAAGTTTTCATTATGACAGAAACAAAAAATGTTATCATAGAAGAAAAATGAAGAGGAAAAACAAAACTCTTTATCAAAATGAAATGATGTGTATTAACCTGCAACACAAGACAGGCTCAAAATCAATGGGGACCAAAAATAAAAATAAAGAAACAGAGGATTTTGTCAGTGTTGTTTATCACTTTGCATCACCCAAAGTTCTTATTTTAAGTCTTCTCCTTCTTTTCTCTCTTTTCAGTCTGAGAATCCATTAAAAAAAAGGAAGAGTTTTTTTGTTTTTTTAATTGATGGGATCCTTTCCGATGGCTTTCTGGACGAGCCCGGCTTGCTCTTTGACATGGAAAGTGTAGAAACCGGTGGCAGTAGCAGCAGAAGGACCACGACCAACGTACTTAATGTCTTCCATGTCTCCTCTGCCTAAGCTTCTCATTGCTGTCCATAGCCTCGGAGATATGTAGCTGAATGCTCCCATGTTCATCGCCTCTTCTTGGCACCACACTATCTCCGCATCTTTTTTTTTTAGATCAAAGCAAAAATCAAATTCAAACCACAAATATGTCAGCAAAACAGGAAAAAACGAAACCGAATCGTTGTGTAGACCAAACTAATCTGAGATGCTTACTTGGATATCTCTTGAGCTCACGCTGGATGAGATCATATGGGAAAGGACAAAGCTGTTCCACTCTACAGATAGCAACATCGTTCGCGCCAACCTTCTTCCTCTCGTCATCAAGCTCGTAATAAACCTGAAAAGAAGCATGACCAAGAATTAATCTTGATGTCTTTGCCAATCTTGGGGCCAGCAAGATTCATCTTATAGAATGAACAAAGCTTTGCATACCTTTCCAGAGCAAAGTACCAATCTTCTGATGCCTTCTTCAAGATCAGAGTGGTCGTTCTGATCCTTGATTAATCTCTTGAATCTAGTTCCTTGCTTGTCAAAACCTGGGTGGCCTTGAACATCATCAAACTCTGAGAGATTTGATTTGCAGTCTTTGTGACGGAGCAAGTTCTTTGGTGCCATCACAATCAGAGGCTTACGGAAGTCTCTGTGTATCTGCAACGTGAGTGACATATGAGACATTTGTAAAATGGAAACGACACTTTGAAACAGGTGAAAACGATAACCAGAAAATAACTCTTACCTGTCGACGCAGGACATGGAAATAGTTGGCAGGAGTGGTGGCATTGACAATCTGCCAGTTACATTCTTGGATTTGCTTTCGCATTGTTGGTTCCATGTCTGGTATGACATAGGGATTATCATCACTCA